TATGCAATAAAATTATATACAATATATTTCTTTTCGACGTGTAATTACATATGCAACATTCGGTATGCGTACAATAATACGAAATTCTCATAATGTAAAACACGTGATTATTATATGACATTTCTTATTAATTATTAAATAACAATTTCAAAGTTTGTTTTACTTTATTTAATTTTCATGAGTAACTATATACAATCAAGAAGATTGTTAATAAATTTATTACTAATATTTCTCAAAGGAGACTGTTATTAATTATTGGCATGCTATACAGAATTTACAGTTTTGAAGTTTCCTTGTTTGCCAAAATATTAGAGACTACCCTCTAGCTTTAAAAGTTTAAAACATAGACCAAATAAGCAAAACTTTGACTGAGATATCATTAACATCCCAGATAAATTCCACATTAAAAAAAGTATCTCTGAAATGTTTTACATATTAAAGGGCAAAATAATGGCATTAATCTACAAGAGAATACATTAAATCTTTGTAATGATTATTCACCGAGAGACTTCCACATAACTGACATCTTCTATTTCTCTTTATTTATTGTCTTGTTTTATTTATTGACCTCTTTTCCTTTATACATATAATGCTTCATCATATTAGATTAGTATCCTTTTCACCTTGTAACTGAAGCTAAATTTTCAGTCGGTGTGCCAATCTTACACAGAAAGCATTGTCTTGTATCAAATTCGAACACTATTGCAAAGTAACTATATTATATATTGCGAAGTCGACTGTTTGGTAAGTAGATTACACATTCTCATATAACACTTACGAGTTACTATTTATTAGATAATTCCTTTGATCCTTTTTCTCTGATTTATAAGTCAGCAGTCAATGCCACGGGTGATTTTGTTCACAGCGTCCTATGACCACCGATTTAAAGTACATGTCTACATTTCCACTTTATATGCGTTATTATTAAAGACTCGTTTTAAAATCATAACCGAATTTTTAAACGTTACAAAGTTTGCATAATTGAAAATTATATAAGACGATAGAGCTAATAGTGAACAAAGCTAAGTATAAGTACTTAAAATATGTATTATAAATTAGTAAACTGAAAAAACAAACGTTTCGTCCTTCAATATACGATCACCTGCAGTGCGCGATATACGGATAAGAATTAAGTATCCAATGGAAAATAGACAATTGTTGAATTCCAACGGAAAAAAAATTAAGTTAAAATCTTACATTATAATTAAGAATTGAGTCGATAAATTACATATGTAGTATCTGACCTTATTGAGAACCTCTTAATGTCTCAATAAAGTCAAATACACGTGTAATTTATCGGCTCAATTCTTAATTATAAAAAAAACTTAATTAAAAACCGATATATTAATTCAAGTTTTTCCGTTGGAATAATTCTTATCGATATATTGCGCACTGAAGGTGATCGTATTGAAGGTCGAACATGTGTTCTTCTTTCAGTTACTGAAATACATATAATACATATTTTAAGCACCTATACCCAGCTTTGTTCACTAGCCCTATCCTCTTATATTGTTTCAAATTTTAATTGTTACATTGAAGAGAGTATAAAATTTGAGACCAAAACGTCTGTAATTTGTATTTATGTTTGTATTAAAGTTAATTTTTGTATTTTATATCTCTCGCTTTAACAACGGCATTTTGCTCTTATTTTCCTTAAGCTTGGAATATGATATATATATGTATAAAGAGCGTATTTATTATTTTTGTTCAATTTTTATATACACTTTATGCTCATCGGAAAGCTTAAGATTATTTAATTTACCCATCATCGCGCCGCTAAAGATGGCTCAAAATTGAGCCGAAACGTATACAATTTGTATTAAATTATTAATTAAATATTACATAACGTTAACTACACAACTAATTGCGCTAGACTTTCAAAGCCTATATACTTTTTTCGTTACCGGTGCGGTTAATATTCTTAGAATCAGATACGTAGCTGAAACGCATATATAAGAAACTAAATCGAATTCCGCGGAAAGTTAAATTACAAACATCGCGTTAACAAAACAGTTTGGAAATAAATAGAATCAAATAATCATGTTACAACAGATATCCAGAAAAAATGATTTGTGTCTTTGTTAAATAGCAATTGTCCATATTTTTAGAGTTCCTAAAACATTTTTTTTTTTAAATATCGATTAACCATTATTTTCTTTTAATTATATACTAATATCTCTTCAATCTCGTAAATTATTAAAATATTACATTCTCTTTAACTATACAAATGTAAAAAACATATTTTTATAGAAAAACTGCAAAATGGCGCTCATAACGAAGTACTGGATCCTGGATGGCATAATAATTCTCATAACTCTCATTGTAATCGCTTACAATGCTTACCTTTACATAACTCGCAATTTCAAGTACTGGGAAAAACGAGGTGTTCTGCAAATACCGCCAACGCCATTCTTTGGCAATTTCAAAGAGTGTCTATTCCTGAAGAAATCCCCATCATACTTTTTAAAAGAACTCTACGAGCGAAAGAAGGATGTACCTTATATAGGTTTCTACATTTTTAACAAGCCCTTCTTGTTGCTTCGCGATCGCAAAGTCATTCGGCACGTCCTCACAGCAGATTCTAATTTTGACAATCGATACTCCTCGGCCGATCCAAAGGATCGTATTGGTTACGCCAATCTCTTCTTCACGAGAGAAGATCACTTTAAATGGAAAGACAAAATAATGCAATTTTTTTTTAACGATGATGTACAGATGTATGCATTTGACCTGATGCTAAAATGCGGAAAACATTTAGATGAATATCTTGACTCATTGGAATTAAATGGTAAGTTGGAGGGTATATTATGTAATCCTTGAAATTAAGAAATGTAACAAGACAAGGAAACAAGATAAAGACTGTGACTATAATTATAATCATCTGTAAAATTTTTGTAGTATTAAGATATTTTATGTTACTCTAATGCACACGTAGATGTTTGCTCCTCTTCTAATATAATAAAAAATGCGAAAATCAGTATAATATCTGCAGGCTAAATAGATTTAATCTGATAACATTGCCGGCAGGTAATGGACAAATAATAGACGTAATGGACGTAAGTACAAAATTTACCATGGATGTGATATGGAGCATTGCTTTTGGACGCGATGACGTGAACACGTTTCAAAATCCAGACTCCGATTATAGCAGACATGCCAAAACGATGTTAGAAAATAATTATAGGCGCACCTGGAAGATGCTCGCAATATTCTTCCTACCAAATCTAACTCGTTTTCTTAAACTAAAAGTGTTTGGTAAGAAGACAACCGATTTTATGCGCAAAATTTTCTGGGAGACAATGCTGGATCGCTATAATTATATATCGAAATGGGTCGAATCTGAGGATCCTCCGTATCCTCACATTCCTCAAATCGATCCTCACCCGCGCCATTATAAGAGATACGACCTCATTGATATTCTAGTCGACATCAAGTGGAATGATCCTCTCAAATGGAGATACATTGAAAATTTCAGTAAGCGAAATAATTACGTTGACATAATTTATATAAAAGAATAAATAAAGATGTGTAACATACTTAACGGCTTGCAATAACAAAATCAGAGTTATAACCGTCATGTTTGATCAATAATCATGAGAAACGAATTTATTCACAGCAAGTAACAAAAGATTTTAGAACTTTATAGATGAATTAAATTTCAGGACTTGGACATGTCGAAGAGGATGATCTTTTGGCACAAGCAGCTAGTTTCTTTTTATTTGGTTTTGAAACCATCTCAACGACTGTGGCCTTCGCATTGTATGAACTCGCATTGCAACCTAAAATTCAGAACACTCTAAGAAATAAAATACTCCAGGTACTGAAGAAATCCAAAGGAAGAGTTACACATACCATGGTATGCGACTATCATCCGCTGAGTCTCTTTCGTAATTTTTTATTTTTGTAAATTATTTTTAGTGATACATATATTTTTAAATTTAATTGTATATACATTTATGACTTATAATGCAAAGAAAATATATTTTAAGTCACAGAAAGTGAACTAAAAATTAAGATAAAGTCTTATTTGACTATTTGTAATTATAATTTAAATGAAAAATTATTTTTATACATTGTTTATTATTACCAGATGGAGCCAAACTCACTGTCATTTCCGTATCTCGATATGGTGGTCTCAGAAACTTTGAGAATGTACCCGCCATTGGGATTCCTAAATTACATGGCTAAGAAAAATTATGAAGTGCCGGAGCACAATCTCGTAATTGAGGAGGGTACGCCGGTTTTCGTTTCGTTACTTGGCCTACACTATGATTCAAACAATTTTCGCAATCCTAATATATTTGATCCGGAGCGATTTAACGAGACAAACAAACGTAACATACCGGAAGACGTCTATATCCCATTCGGAAGAGGCGAACGTTTTTGTATGGGTAAGAAAATCGATTTTAATATAATCTCTATATACATTAAGATATTAATACATATTTCTTCACTTCTTCTTCATCAACATAATATATAGACTATATACGCACTTATAAATTTTGTAGCCGAGAAATTCGGACTTGTTCAAACGAGGTTAGCCCTGTTTAAGATATTGAGTAAATACAAGGTGACACGGTGCGAGAAAACTTCGATACCAGTAAGAATTGATCCAAGAGGACCCATGACAGTGCCATTAAATAATGTATTATATCTCAAGGTCCAGAAAATTAACCCTTTAGGGACCTGTGTACATAATTATGTACATTCAAAAAAGAGAACTAAAAAAACTAAAAAAACTAAAAAAGCTAAAAAAGCTAAAAAAAACTAAAAAACTTTTATCAGGGATGTCTTTTAAAGTCTCTTGCACAATAGGCGATAGCGACAGGGACATGGTTGCCGACAAAGCTATACCTTTGTCGGCAACCTTGTCGCTGTCACTATCGCTATCGCTATCGCCCATTGTGCAAGGGGGTTAAGACTATCTTATAAATTATAACATATTTTAAGGGGTTACATCCATGCACCTAGGGGCCCGAAAAATAGGTCAAAATTCAGATTTTTTTTTCAGAAACAATTTTTTGATAAACATTTTTTTTAAAGCTCTCAAAACATGTATCTTTGAGTACAAAAAAAAATTCGTTTCATTTCCACTAATCGTTTCTGAAAAAAATTTGAATTTTGACCTATTTTTCGGACCTCTAGGTGGATGTAGCCTTAATCCAACGGGATCGATGTGTGGCCCCTAAAGGGTTAATACTAATGCTTTTTAGAACAAAATACGTTTTTAGTCAAAATAAATATACAATTATTCTTTTACTTTAAGGACGCAATCAGTGTTTTGATAAGAAATCTGTATAATTAAATATAAAAATTAATAGAAATATAAATATGTTATGCTGGATATTCTATTTTTTTTACGTTTTAAATTAATTTTTAATATTAACTAGATATCACAATCACAAACGCGCGCGCTATTTAGCTTCAATATTATACAGTTACTACTATTAACCCTTTAAATCCTTTATACATATATACATATATAAATTAAAATTTAAAATCTTTAAGTGTCTTCTGATATATGTAACTTGTTTTTATCTGATTACATCCGATAAAAATAGATCAATCTATAGAGGCCCACCACCACCCCCGCCGATTCCGATCGGCGGTCCTCTTTTATTCTCGCTTAATGGAAATGTAATTACTGAAAGCAATTAAAAATTATTCTATACTTATTTTTTTTTTTTTTTTTTTTTACGTGGTGGAAATCTTCGAAAGACACCCCCGTCCTGGGGTAGGGAGGGTGAGTGTCGGATTCTACGCGCACGCGTACCACCGTTACGAGGGGCGCTTCAGAGGACCGAAATCCCCTGAGCCTCCCTCAGCGCGCGCCCATAGCCTACCGACTAAAACCACCACGAGCGACCCTAACTGTACTATGCTAGAGAGACCCCGGGAAAAAATTATTCTCTATACCTACGTTTTAACTATGTCGCTACCTACACGCCTAACTTTCTAAGCGGGGTGGTGCATGCCGTTCCGTTACGCCGGCCACCAGGTACGCGACGCTCCTCCGCGACTTCTCACACGCGCCCGACTTGCTAACGAGAGTGCAAATGACTGCACAAGATTGATAAAAAATATTTCTATATTACTAATTCCGTTATTTACTTGAGAATATTGATTATCCGTTTCTTTTTGTGACCCGTTCTTTTAATTTAAAATTGTAATCAAGTACAGAAAAAAATGTTACTTCGCGTTCTATGAATATCTCAATTATATCCCGCGAAAAATTAGAATTTATAATGTAGACAAAATTAAAAAATTAATAATGAAAAATTTCTCGAAAAACCGACCACGAAAACCGACCGCAAAAACACAAAGATGCGTTATTATGCATGTTGTTCATGAGGTAGGTACGCATCTCGAAAATGTATCAAATAAGATATAGATACAGAATAAATGACGTGAGATCCGAAAAAAAGAAACTTCCCGCACGATTGATATTATAATTAATCAATAACCGCATTGTTATAATTAAATAATTAAATAATTAAATGATATATATGCAAATCTTTATTTTACGATTATCGATAATGTATCTCGTTATATTTTTCTGTCACTTTCTATCTAAATTATTTTTGATATAACGTAGTTATTTATTATTGCAAAACTGAATAATTGTACTATATCATCAGTTCTGAAATAATTTAAATTTTCAGTATCTCGACAGAATATTTAGAATCTCACGTCATATAACTTGACTTTATCTAGCATAAAGCCAATTTTTCAATTAAAAATAGATGGATAGGCTACAAAAAATTAGGGTAAAATCGATGCTTTGTTAAAATAAATTTTAGTAATAAATAACAATTTTATCACGTTTTCTATCTAATAAATTCTAAATATATCTATATATTGCTTTCTTGCATCGATTTATAAATATTTAATCTTGGTTAAATATATGGAAATGAATAAATGGGTAAGTATAAATAAAACACATCCTAACTCATAATTTTTCCCTATCTACAAATACTTTTTCTTATAACATCTAACTCTAACACAATATTTTACTTATCTCTTTTGTTTAAGAAAAAAAAATATATATATAATGTTACAAAAATAACTTTTTAAAAAAATCTAAAAAAATTTTATTTAAAAAATCATTACTTTAATTATTAGAGAATTATATTACTTTTTGTTTCTCTTGTGTTTCTAAAATATTTATTATTTACTCTAGTTTTAAATAGAATTGATTTATGTAATAAAAATTCAAAAATTTAATTTATGTATTTAAAAACTTTATTCAAAAGTAATTTATATAAAACGCGGCAGTTCGTTAACATAATTTAATGAGTTCTTCGCGAGCTCGGTGCGTGCGAAGTGTGCGAGTATTTCCTCAAGCACAATCGCACAATAAATCAATAACAATCAGCAAATACAACAATATACAAATGATACCAAAATTAAATATTTCCCATAATCAATTTTAGCCCATCCATTTGAAGGCAATGGATCTACGAAATGTAATATTTTCATACTACAAATTATTGTAAATCGGCATGTACCGAGATATATTATTGCTCTATATTTAATTATATATTCGTAGATTCGTTACCTCAATGAAAAAATTATTTATTGACTCACCGATTCGATGCGCAACGGGCGGAGTTATGCAGCCACGTAGCTACGGTGATACTGTAACATACAAACATAAGATTTAAATTAAAAAAACGCTCAAAATTATTAACATTTGAAAAGTTGATTCTTACGCGTCTCCAATTCGTCTTTCAATAAAATATTTAGCAATACAATTTATCTGTTTATCGAAGATCTTTACAAGCATAGAATTTTAGATAACTTCTCTTTCTTCAATTACTTTTAACTTATCGAAATTAAAATTAAACACTTCGAATAAATGGAAACAAATTATCAATTTTATATGTATAGCTAAGAGATGATACTTACCCCAAGGTTGCTCCGTCGGTGCCCGATATCTCTCTCCAGACCTCCTCCTCCTCTCAGGACGTCAGCACTTCCTCCTCTCACCGCACAGGACACTCGCGAGAAACACTCGCGGATAATAAACTACAATCGCGCGCGGACTAATTTCATTAAAAGTCTTTCTCGCGCGATACTGTACGGCACTCCCGTTTAGAAAAGTCCTTTAGTCCGATTACTTGAACGGCACTCCCGAAGCAAACGCGACGAACCGGCTGCGGTTCGTTCATTCAATTAAATCGGCGGACGAGGGTACGTTAGCTTCCCCGTCTTTGAATTTTTATCCAAGCAGAACAAGAGTTTTGCTTGGGTAAAATTCTCGTACTGGGTACTGGAGCCTTCCCACCTCGCCAAGGTCGTACCCGTGGGAAGGAAGTATATCTTTACTCTATAATACAAAAGCAGCTAGGTAACAATTTTTCGTGCAAATTTGAAGGAGTCGGGCGCGATACTACGCAAGTCGAGCGGATGGTTAACAAAGGCACGCAGTTGATTGAAATTAAATATCACACTCACAGCACGTACGGTATCAAATTCGTAAATCTCGCGAAAGTATAACCGTATTATTAATATGCACGACGAAGAATCGTGACTGCCGGCCGCTAATTTACGCGACGCGAGATGTACACGGAGATTACGAAGCATTCACGAGACGAGCGCGATGTATCACGGCGTTCCGTTACTCGAATCACTCGATACGACACTGTCACTCAGCCCTCTTTTTCCCTACGGAGAGAATCGGAGATAAATCACATGACACGACAATTCCGGCACACAGCGTTCGAAGCACGACGCGAGATAAATGAATGCGCACATTCGCGATTCGCGAGTCCAGACATGGCGGGACGAGCGACTATCACCCGCGAATGTCACAGCGAAACTGCACATCGTTCACAATTGCCATTCACATACCTTCGCCTCGACGTCTCGAGTAAGCGATTCGCGCGACACGTTATTCATTATTTCGACAGACACCTCTTATACACTCGTAAATTGTTGAACACACACGGCGCGTACTCGCGTAGCAATTATTCCCGCGGCCCGCGAAACGAGGAAGCAGGGATGCCAATCACTGAGACGAGTGCGTTCCGAAATCAGCACGAAGCACGGTGACAAGCTCGCTCCCGGAGCACAATCACTTCCTACCCGTGCGAAATTCCTCGGGAGAATGATAGCTGAGTCACTCACGCAGGTAACAGTACTTCGAGCGTCGACGGCAGCAACTGGCAAGTCCGCTCATCGTCAGAATCAACGCCGAAAACACGCCGATTATCGAGACACGCAATTTTAGTTCAACCGTCGCGCGGTGCGGACGCACTGGTGGCACGGTGCCAAGTACGCCGCCGCGCCGTATCGATCCGCCGCGTCGGCGGCGCGGAGCGGCGGGACGTGATTGGCCAGATCCGGGAGCTCGACTTACGAGCCAATTGCGTTCGAGGTGTCGCCCGACTGTGCGGCGGCAACAGCGCGCACAAGAGAATTGCAATTATAAATATAAAATTATAAATGTCAAATAGAGCAGGCAAGACTTAGTTTTAACTTTAAACTTGTTTTCTGCAACGTTAATACTAGCGTGTTCATGTTTACTACACCATAAATCGATAACACACTAAGAAATTGGTTAACTTTAATAATTTTTCTACATTTTTATTTATAATATAATTATAATATAAAAATTTAAATATTGTTTTTACGTTTACGCGCCAAAAAATGATTTCTCCGTATATGTGGTATATATGTTACATTTCA